ATTTCTCAATACATGCTTTAAGGCTATGTTTACAGAGCTTCGGGGTGGGAAGGGCACCTTTCTGCCAGTTTCCGTAGTGTAGTGGTTATCACGTTCGCCTAACACGCGAAAGGTCCCCGGTTCGAGACCGGGCGGAAACATTATTTATATATGCTCCAGAACGTAATATAACTCTTTAATAAACGTCGTATTGTAATTTAGGCGTTCCTTCCCGGTGCTTTCTGGGCAGAACCGTCCGTTATTGATAATAAGATAATAATAATATGTGATAGCGGAATTTCCGATGCATCAGCGAACGCAACCTTCAGGGGTGTTTTATTTACAGGTTTTAGAGTTATGAATACTGATTAACATACTGCTCTGTTAACTGACTCTGACTCCGTGTTCTGTCTTTACTCTCAGACTGAGAAGATGTTGCAGTGAAGCAGTAACAGCAGCTGACACAGCTGGGAGTGTTTCTGGATTCAGTTCCTGACACAGGGCTCTTAACAGTTGGATGTCAACATGGACAGCATTGACGAATACATCTGGGAGCGGCGCATCCACCATGGGGTCAGACGCCAGAAAAGCTCAGTCCCGTTCCCAGAGTCGGTTACAATCGGGCTGGAGTTCAATGCGGCGGTGGCGAGGAAGGAAAAGTTAGATCGGTGTCTTCTGACAAACGCTGTGATGCTGGAGCTTTGGGATTTCGCCAAAACGGTGACAAAGTCGGAGATGTATTTCTTGTTCGAAATGCTGGAGTTCAACTTTGAACTCGGGTTGGACATGGACAGCGACAGGCAGTGCTACGAATACACAGCACGTGTTCACAACAAAATAAAGCAGCTGAAGGAACAAATCAAGATGAAACCTCACAGGTGGAAAGAAACATTTCCACTACCAGATCTAAACGTTATGATGACGGGGGAAGGGAAGGCGGAACGCTACTACCCGAAAAGGAACAAAACCGTGGATATTTCCGTCCTCACTGATGGCAGCAAGAACAGCAAGTCTTCAGAAGTTCTGAAGACAGAGAGTAACGGAGCCACGAGCAGTCAGCTCATTATAAAGAAACAAAGAGGAGTTGGACCAACAACTGATGCTTACCCTTTCTGTAAAGAACTTGGTGTGAGTCTGACCGTTCAACCAGATGACGCACCCAGACAGAAACTAGACCCAAACCTGGTGACCAACGGTGTGATGATGGAGCTGTTTCACTTTTCCAAAGGGCTTTGCGGAACACAGACTGGGATCATTCATGACTTGGTCACAGCGAACTTCGGTCAGGAGTTGGATAAAACAATATTCCGTACGCAATTAACCAGGCTGATGGAGCGAAAACATTCCTGCCCGACAGCGGAGGACAGGGAGGCTTTCCGAAAGGAGGCTTTCAAAGTTGAGACCAAGAAACGGCAATATAATGCTAAAAAGAGAAAAAGACTTGAAGTAGATCTCCAAGAACTGGAAAGCCTCACAGTGTCTGGTATGAGAAGTAGATCGCAGAGGATCAGGTACGATGAGGCAGAAGAAACCTGGCAGGATGGCAACCTGTCGTACATGTGTCCGGTTGACTTTGAGACAGAAATGCAGACAGGGACAGAGGCTGGATCAGAACAAACAAAGCTCGAAAGTTGTTTGACAAAGTGGTCAGTTTCTGTGGATGTAAAGCAGGAAGAGGAGGAAGTTTTTGTCTCTCCGGTGCAGCCACAGACTAATGGCCACCTTCATCCAAAGACTGTAAAACCGGTCTCAAATCTGTTCACTGAAGATAAAAATGAGGACATGAATGTAAAAACACCGAAACAGAAGTTGTGGACGAAACGTGCCGCTCGCTCGAAACAAATCCTGAAGTCTATCAGAGTTCACGACATGTTTGCCCGCTGCAGAGACATCAGTTTAGACTTTAATGTCGGTTCAGGCAACAAACAGAACCTGGACATACGACTTATCACCAACTCTGTGTTGTTGGAGGTTTATAAGTTTGCGATGGCGATGTCAAGGAGTTTACACAGTTTCTTATATGATGTTCTGAACAGCAACTTTAACCTTGTCCTCCAGGATGATCTGCATCGGCGCAATTTTATATATTACATCATAACGAAAGAAAAGTTTCTTCAGAACCACCCTAGGCGGAACGTGGAGTTTCTGAGCAGTCCCTTTCAGTTCCCTGAGGTTTACAACATGGTTGACGTGACCAGCGACTTCCAAACCGGCCAGGAAGTCAAGACGGAGCAGCAGACAAACTGCTATTTACAATCTACAAGCCAGCAGGCAGATACAGAGCCACACCCGTTCTGTCAAAAGTTGGGTGTCAACCTTTGGTTGACAGACGAACATCCGGCGAGCCAGAAGCTTGATCTGACTGAACTGACATCAGGCGCCATGCTCGAAATATTCTGCTTTGTCAGGGAGCTGTGCGGAGTGGTTCACGAGACGGTTAACGACATCCTCGAGCACAATTTCGATCTCGATCTTCAGAGCGGTGAGACAGAGGCCGCACGGGTGATCCAGAGATGGTTGGTGACTCAGAAGAACTGGAGAAAGCAAACCACATTATCAAAGGTAAATCGTTGGTTAAACAAAGTTGTCACACTGAACGGTCACCAACAGCTCAGTCCGCAACCACCAACTGGCAACGGACCTCTGGAGCATCTGGATCCAGAAGACGTGAAGCTGGAAAGAGAAATGGAGGATTTTAGTAAATATTCTCAAGAGGTGAACAGCTATCACATCTGCAAAGAAATAGGATTAGAACTCGACGTCAGCTCCAAATCAGAATCCAAAACAAAACTTGATTTGCGAGTGCTGACGAGGGGAGTCCTCTTTGAGTTGCACCGGTACATAGGACAAAACTGTAAGCGATACGTTCCCGCTCTGTACGAGATTCTGGAATACAACTTCGACCTGAGATCTCAGAACCATCGGAAGGTGGAGTTCGCCTGGTCCATCGCATCTCAGGTGATAGCCATGGTGGGAAAAAACGCCAGGAAGGGCGATTATCTAAACAAAGTGTTTGAGTTGCCCTTCGAGCTCTGCGAGTCCTCACAGATTTTCTGCAAAGAAGAGCCCCAGGAAGGCTTCGGCGAGCTGGACCTTAACGATAACTCGGACATCACATTTGTCAGAGAACTGAAGCCCGTGGACATAGAAGTGGAGGTTGAATAGAGTCGTAGCTCCTGTTTTCACTGTAGAAAATCAGTGTTCAGATTAAGTTTCATTTTGTGTTGATTCTGGCGACCCCTGTGGACTAAAGTTTTGTTTAATTGATTTCAAGGGGAATCTGACCGATGGCAGGCATCAAGAATAACTACATACATATTCTCTTTGATGATCTTTTCTTTTGTTTTGGTAAACTGTTACTTATGGGATGTTGCCATAATGTTATGACCACCTACCTGTAACGAGCCTCATTAAAAGGGAAGCCAATACGAGCCCTATCGGTAGATGATGTGTCAATAGAAACTCCTGGAAAACGGTTTCTTAATAAGAGATCTGCTTGTTGCTACATATGTACGTGTGGTCCATGTATGTTTCTGTTAATGTGTTAATGTTAATGGCTACGTAGCACGCCGCAGTCTGCAGAGTGGAGTGGTTGGTTTTAAAGCAGCAGAGTTGGTTGGTGACGAAAGCTGCCTCCAGATCTGCCAAGAGCAGAATTCAACAATTCATTTGATTATTTGGACCTGAATCAATCAACAACACTAGTAAACACCAACACACACACACACAGGTCTTAAGTGTTTAGATAAACTCCTCCCATCTTTATCTTCCCACATTCGTCACGTAAACACACATCAGCTGTTATTAAACTGTAAAAACTGTAGTGAGGCAGGTGTGTTTGTACCACCGCCTTCAGACGTGGACCAAAAGCAGCTCAGTACAAGCTTTATGTGACGAGGTTAAAGGTCAACGTGTCCTTGTTTTGTTGATACATATTATGTGAAGAGATGGAAGCTCCTGTCACAATAAGCAGATGAATGTCGGCCATTTTGTGGCTAATAAATGTATATTTTCAGTGCAAACATACATGTGGAAGAAAACACGCGTTCTGGCGTCTTCTTGTTTATATTTTGTTGTCAGAACTTTTCTAACTACTGCAAATTAAAACTGTCTTTAATGTCAGGTGTTTTTTTCCTTATTTTAGCTGTATTTTCATTATTTAACAGATTTTGCAGCTTGGTTTGCTCATAAAACCTGATGAATTGAGTCCTTAATGTTTCAGGACTAATCTAAAATCAGCAAATAATTAATTAAAGCTACTGTGAGTAGTCGCTCCCTAACTGCTGTTTTAGCAGGAAATACATCTGGTTTCTGATTCTTGGGAACGTCCAGACGCGAGTGGGTTCCTGAGGAGGAATAATGGGAAGAAGACATTATTAAGTTAGGAACCTGGAAGCTCCATAAACTGCAGCTTTAACTTTAATGACCAGAGGCTGCAGAGGGCCATCATAATAACAATT